CGCTTATCATCTGGTCAGAATCGCTGAAGGTGACGAATGGAAGACCACCTTTCGGACCCGCTACGGCTCTTACGAATGGAAGGTCATGCCGTTCGGCCTTACGAACGCCCCTGCGGCTTTCCAGCGGTTTGTTAATGACATCTTCTCTGACATGCTCGATGTCTGTGTTATTGTCTATCTTGACGATATTCTAATCTACTCTGATACGCCAGAAGAACACCGAGAACACGTTAAGGAGGTTCTTCGGCGGTTACGGAAACATCGGCTTTACGCCAACCCCGACAAGTGCGAATTCAATATGGATACTGTTGAGTATTTGGGTTATATTCTTTCTCCCAACGGATTGACTATGTCCAAGGAGAAAGTTCAAACAGTTCTAGAGTGGCCGGTCCCGAGGAAGGTTAAGGACATTCAGTCCTTTTGGGTTTTGCAAACTTCTATCGTCGTTTTATTTATAATTATAGTGATATCGTTGTGCCGATGACTCGGCTTACCCGAAAAGGCGCTCCCTGGATCTGGGACAGCAGCTGTCAAGAGGCCTTCGAAAATCTCAAGACTGCTTTCACTTCTGCGCCGATACTGGCCCATTGGGAGCCGAATCGCCCACTTATCGTGGAGACCGACGCTTCCGATTACGCCATTGCGGCTATTCTTTCCATCCAATATGCTGACGGTGAAATTCATCCTCTAGCCTTCCTTTCCAGAACGCTTCATGCGGCGGAACTCAACTACGACACCCACGACAAAGAGCTACTGGCCATCTTCGAGGCCTTTAAAGCTTGGCGTCATTATCTGGAAGGCTCAGGTGATCCGGTGGACGTCGTCACCGATCACAAGAATCTTGAGTATTTCTCTACTACCAAGGTTCTCACACGCCGACAGGTCCGATGGTCAGAATTTTTACATCAATTTAATATGGTCATTCGCTTCCGACCGGGGAAACTCGGCGAGAAACCCGATTCGATAACTAGACGCTGGGACGTCTACCCTAAAGAGGGGGATATCGGCTACGCCCAAGTGAACCCTCACAACTTCCGTCCTATCTTTACTAACGAACAACTCACTGCGTCTCTTCGAGCTACCTTCCTGGAAGGCCCTGTTTTACGAGCCTCGATTATCATGGATATCGAAGCTCTACACCAAGCTATCATTCTCGCCCTTCCCGCCGACCCGAGCTCCGTTGTTGGTTTGGAACTTGCAAAAGATCCTTCCAATGAACGTTGGAGCTTAGGTAGTGACAAGCTACTACGCCTTGACGACCGTATTTATGTCCCTAATCACGGCGATCTTCGCCTTCAAGTCCTCCGCTACTTCCATGATCATCCACTTTCCGGCCATTTCGGCCAGAACCGCACTTTAGAAGCTGTACGTCGTCAATACACCTGGCCTAAGGTCAGAGACTTTGTTCGTGACTACGTTACCTCCTGCACTATCTGTGGTCGCAATAAGCCCCGCCGTCATCGGCCTTACGGCTTGTTGAAACCTCTGCCGGTTCCGGTCCGACCATGGGATTCCATCTCCATGGACTTCATTGAGCAACTGCCAATGTCAAATGGTTACACTGCTATCCTAGTCGTTGTGGATCGATCTTCCAAGCAAGCTATATTTATTCCAACTCACGACACCATTACTTCCGAACAACTAGCTGAGCTTTTTGTTATTCACGTCTTCTCTAAGCATGGTGTCCCTAATCATGTTACTTCCGATCGTGGTTCCGAATTTGTTTCAGCGTTTTTCCGGGCTCTCGGTAAAGCGCTCTCCATGGAACTTCATTATACCTCTGGATATCATCCGGAAGCCGACGGGCAGACCGAGCGTGTCAATCAGACTCTCGAACAGTACATCAGGATCTACTGCTCTTACCAACAAGATGACTGGTCGCCTTTACTCCCGATCGCCGAATTCGCTTATAACAACGCTCCCAATGCTTCCACAGGTATTACTCCATTCTTCGCTAACAAAGGATACCATCCAAATATCACCGTTCGGCCCGAGGTCGATATGAAGTCTGACCTAGCTAGAGACTTCGTCGTTAACCTCGATGAACTCCACGTTTTCCTTCGAGAGGAAATCCTTTTAGCCCAATCTCGTTATAAGGAACAAGCTGACAGGAAAAGAATCTCGCACCCGGAGTTCCCGATCGGCTCCGAAGTATTTGTTCTTGCTAAGCACATTCGCTCTACTCGTCCTACTGAAAAATTCTCAGAAAAATATCTTGGTCCTTTCAAGGTCATCAGTCGACCTGGTACTTTATCTTACGAGCTCAAGCTCCCGGACTATCTTCGCCGCATTCATCCGGTTTTCCACGTCTCACAGCTGGAGCCGGTTACGCCGAATCCTTTCCCGAATCGTACTCAATCTCCTCCACCTCCAATCGAAGTTGACGGTGAAGAGGAGTACAACGTTGCCGAAATTCTGGACTCCAAGCTGGACAGAAGGTATAAACGTTGTCCTCTACGTTACTATATTCGGTGGGCCGGTTATGAAGGTACCGACGATGAATTCTCTTGGGTTGCTGCTGATGAATTACATGCTGATGAACTGGTACCCGCATTCCACGCTCGATACCCTCTGAAACCTGGACCTTGATCACACAAAATCATTTTATTCCTTTCCCCCGTTTTCCGCCGCGCTCCGCCGAAGTTTACTTTGTGCGTTTAGAGGGTAAACACGATGATAGCAAATTGAGTGTTTATCTCTTTCTCTTAATTGCTTACATTCTCCTTCTATCTACTATTTCACTTATATTTCTTTCACACTTAGACTAATTACACTTCGTACTAATTACTTCTTACGCCGCTTCGCGGCCCATTCGCTTTCCGATTTCAAAATCGAGTTAACATTTTTTTTTATATATACAAAGTCCAAAAAACAAAATTATATAACGAAGGCAGGGCAACAAGAAGAGTACAAGAAGATGGCCGAAGGCCGATGTTCGATGTCCGATGTTACTCTACTCCGCTCTCTCCTTCCCTTTCTCCGACCGGGCCTTCTTCGGCGCCGGTTCTCCCTCTTCCTCTACCTCCTCCTCTCCTTCTCCATCCTCTTCTTCTCCCATCCTCCTATCCTCTTCTTCCTCCTCACTATCCACGACCCTTCTCCTCTTCTTCGGCAGCCGCGAAGGTCCTGGTTCCGGCATCTCCGGTGGCGTTTTCCTCCTTCTCGCGGCGTCCGTCATCAACCAGTCCAACTTGCGGTTGATATGGCGGTTGTAGGTGTTGTCCTTCAACTGGCCCTCTCGAAGCTGCCGGTTGTCTGCCAGCAGCTGAGCCATCTGGCTCTCCAAGATCGCCAGGCGCTCGCCGATCGGTTGTCCTCCCCCCTCTCGCTTCACCGTCGAAGGCCGCCCGGAGTACGAGCATCTGACCTTAGCGTCGTGACAGGGTTTACAAATAATTGAACTCCTCTTGCCAGCCTGCATCCGGCAAGGGATCTTCTTGTTCCTGCATCGTTCGCAGGGAACTCGCTCATCGTCGTCTTCATCGTCATCATCTCCGCCATCGTCCGGATCTCCGCCGCTAGCCTAAAAAAACTTAGAGTTAGTAAGTCAGTGAGGATATGGCAGAAATCACTCACCTCCATCCTCTGTTTGCCCTTGGCTTTCCTAACCACCCGAGGAACTTCTACTTCCACTCGACGAGCGGAAGTAGATGCTTCCCCTGGGGAAGGGCCCCGGCGGTTTCGCGCTGCCGCGGCTGCCGCAATCCTCCTTCTCTTCTCCGCTGCCTCTTCCTCCAATCTTCTGGCATTAGCGGCCCGCTCGGCGACCTCTTGCCTCTGCCTCTCCTCCTCTGCTTTCTGTCTAGCTTCTTCCTCCGCCTTCCTTTTTTCCTCCTTCCTCTTCCGGTTCTTCTCCCTGGTGAGTTGCAATTGGAGCTCGAGCTCCCGTTCCTCGTCAGAAGGATCCGGCGTTGAAGGGCGAGTTGGGGCCGGGGGCGAAGTTGGATGGGCGCCGGTGACCGAAATCGAGCCGACGGTAGTGGTGGTTCGGGTGGTGGTGCGACTAGAGGACATGTGTACTTGGAGTTTTGGGAACTTGGCCATAGCGGCAAAACCTGGCCCTTTTTTATAGGGTCAAAACTACGCACGGACCAGCAAGAAATTTTCTTCGAGTTGTACTCGGTTTACGGTGTACCGAAAATTTTCTTGGATGACTAACGATAATCCCCGGTACCAACGGCTTTTGAAAATTTTCCTGCTGACTGACGGGCCAAATTCCCGATGCTGACGGCCTTTAAAATTTTTCCTTGTTGACCAATCAACTCCCGGTATTAATGGCTTTCGAGGGCTCAAGCCTAAGAGGGGAATACTGTCAAGTCCATGCCGCGGGCCTCCATTCCGCCGCTCGGTATTCCGAAGATCTGCTTTTATTGTAATCTCTTCCTATTGTTCTTTCTCGCTACACATATCCTTTCGTCCTAGTTTCTCATTATTGTCTTTTACTCTTTCGTTCTAGTCTCTCCTTATTGTCTTTTACTCTACCCTGCAGGTACTACTCGTATAGCTCCTAGTAGTTAGTCTGGCGCTCCGCACCGATGCGCCGCTCCGTAGATATAAATACTGCCTGTACGCTACTGTAGTTCCTTAGTTTAATTATCAACTTAGATCAACTTAGATCTCCCTTCTCAACTTAACTCTTCTCTAAGTCTTCAGGCTCAACGCCTCGAAGTACGTTCTCCTCGACCTTAGGACTTTAACGTTCTCTGGTCCGCTCCTCGTCATCGGCGATACCGCCGCTCCGACCTGGCTGCTACTTAGCTCCTCTCTCTCTACTCTCGCTCTCCGGGGACTAACGGCGTAACGGCGGTGTTGTTAATAACTTCACTACTGTCCCATTCGTCTTCCGCACTTAGACACCCTGTGGCCTTGGCACGGTTACACGGTGTACATGATCTTAACAGATCAGTAATCGATGGGGGTTTGACAGTGATGGGATGATGTATCGTACAAGTAAAGGCGTCGAGACGGTGAGAAAAGGAAAATGATAGGGGCTGCGTACTTTATGACAGAGTCTTTTGTGCAGAGGCAAGTTCTTGAACAAGGTGGAACGCTTTTAGAAATTGTCGAATGTCTGCCAGTACTCCGAGATCAAACTGTGACAATAGAAGAGCTTGAAGGTCTGCATTGCCATTGTGCGAGGCGAACGTTTTGACAGCCTTGAGGTAATCAGTACTCATTCAATGTGGTATAGGAAAACTCACTGGATATAGCTCAAGAAGGCAGTCAATCATTAAGAATGTAGATGACCAACGAGTATCCACATCACGCAACAGAACAATGGCACGCATTTGTCTAGTCTCGTTGTTGTCAGATTGGACCTTCTGAATGTTTATAATTGCATCGCGTAGGGCATCACGATGTTTGCCTGATGCCCGACAGGCATTCACAAGCTTTCGTGCACAGCCAACAAGATCTTTGGCAAGCGCATCAGCGTACTCGACTGTTAGTGACCCAGGAAGAGATGGAGGTAGCAGCTCAAATATCTCAGTGGCAGTCACATCATCATCTCCCTCATCAAGCTCAACTTTGCCCAATCTTGAGAGTGCAGTCTTCACAGCGATGTTAATGACATGGGGAAAACAACTATAATTGAGATCATGTCTGATTAGTCTTCGGAATCAAAGGAGTATGTATACGCTCATACCGGATTCTATTACCATGCTCACTAAATTCAACATTTTGTGCTCTTAGTCAGGATTGTAAACCTCACATCATAGTACCATTGTTCGAGGCATTATCCAGTGTAATCATTCCGACCTGGATATGGATTAAAGCATGTTTAAGCATAAAGTACAGAATATGCTCACACGTTCAATGATATCAAGCTCCTGCAGGACATGGAAAAAATATTCCGCCATGTTATCTCCATCATGACTACCTGCAACATGGCGAAAGGCAATAAGCCGTGAACGCATCACCAAATGACCACCGACATAGATCATGTAATGAGCAGTTATTGCCATGAAACCTTGCAATATTCCGCGCGACCACATATCTGAAGTAAACGATATCCGTCCAAGGGAGTTCTGTACAGGTTTGAGTTTGCATCTGGTATACATGCTTGTTGGAAGAAGTAACGACACACCTTTAGTTCCTGAACCATTTTCTTCCATTCAACTTTGAACTGCTCAAAGATGATATCAGTGAGTTTTGTGCAATGTGGAATGTCACCATTGGAAAGTTCTACTCCAACATAGAGAAGTAAATCTCGAAGTTCCTGACAATCAACAACATTCAGAGACTGTAAATATATTAGCGGCTAGGATTTCTCGATACCTCACGGAAACCATACCTGATCATCAACAACAATCCATCGTGTCAGGAGTTCCCAGAATTTCTCAACTAAGAATAGCTCGCCGGGCTGGTGCGAAGATGACGTACGGGAATTCTTCCCATGCTCGAGGATCTCCCAGCCTTTGAGCTTGAATTTAATGACTAGATCGTGATATTCCTGCGGGTGATGTACTTGTAAATGGTGCCGTATATTTGTTGTATTGCTGAGACCATTCTTCCAGATACCTCGACGGGAAGTCCTAGACACAAACATACATAAGTTACAATGCACTCAAAACTTGAATAGATACAACCTGCTAGTACACCAGCGGCAGATTAACCATTCACCCTCGCATTGCTTTGGACATTCCTTGTAGATCTTCTGAGACTTTGTATGACTTATTCCGCCTTATCTTCGGAGACGGCCAAACTAGTTGACAAATATAGGCAAGCGGCTATATTTGGGCTATATACAGATAGACGGACACAGAAGTCCACCTGGCTTACGTCAGGTGGCCATGGACCGGCCTCTCATCAGAGCTGTGCGGCAGGCACTCTGATATTGGCTTAACCCCCCAGATCCATCACCCACACCAAAAACACCTACACATATGCCGTGGTCCCCGATGCTATGCCGATGTTGCAAATCGGATCGGGTAACCATGTGGACGGCACCACATGGCATACTCCACCCCGTGAATAGGGAGTCATGATCTATCATTGCAAAGTAGAACCGGCGGGTTAGGGCAGCGGTTAAGCCCTCTGATGAGCCCCTTCGCAAGGGCGAAACCCGCACAAAATCCCTACCTTTCGGGTTTGAACCCCAAAGCTGCCTAGTAGTTGATCAACTGGTGCATCCTTGTTGCTTGAAGGTGAGATAAAAAACCAAACATCAGTTGCTCCGCTGTTTGCTGGAGCTTCTTTTTGCATCATTGATCTGAATATATTTTCCCTAGCATAAGCGGGATGGGCTGGTGGAGGGGTTTTCGCAGATATGGACGGCATAGGACCTGCACCAGATGGTGTGGCTGGAAAAGTGCTCGAGGATGATGAAGCTGAAGTACCATTAGGATTCTCCTTGTTGGATGCACTTGTTCTCGCGTGAACATTACGAGTACCCTGAGAAGCTCGGCTTACACGCTTACGTGTATTTGTTGATTGGGCTGCTGACGAAGAGGCTGAGGCTGAAGTTGTTGAGCTCTGATGAGCACCAGATGTACTGTGTACCTGAGATTGAGCCTGGAGATACTCATATTGTGACCAAGCTTGTCTTGGATAGGTCTGGGATGAACTCTGGCCTGGGTACAGACTCGGAGTAGATATGGGAGACCAAGTGTACGGTGAGACTTGAGCAAAGCCTGAAAAATGGGAATGAGGCAATGGAGTATGCGGCGGCTGTGATGGAACTGCAGTCTGAAAGATAGGTGGTTCCGAGAGTTGATGGATGTCCGATGGGTCAGGGAATGTATCCGGAGAGAGAGAGCGAAACACATGAAGGATGAAGGGGGTGACAGCTCATCGAGACCACCAATGTTGCCTACCGCTCCAATTCGCAGATCTTAAGTACTCGGATATTCAGGGAAAAATCAAAGATAAAATTTTCGTTGGCAACAAGCATTGACTACTGAATAAGCGATATTAGTGGTTGAGAGGTACGGGGGCCACATATGTTTCAGCTGTGGAGGGCAGATGAGAGCTCAATGTTGAGAGTATGAGTCGTCGTCGAAAAATGCGTTCAAGGAAGGACTTGGATTGTGACTAACCTCCATGTGACCAACACAAACTCAACGCAAGTTCGAATGAATCGAATGCAAACTCGCGTTGTCGGCATGGCCATATGCCGAACTCAAGTCCAACGCACGACTAGACACACCAGAAGGAGAAAAAATTCTGGTTGATGGAAAAGACAAAAGAACCAAGATGATTCAGTAGAAGATTCAGTCACCACTGAATTATCACAATTCTGTTGAACTGAATGGGAATGTATGCGCATTTCAGTCACTCTGAAATACAATGATTCATGGCATCATTCAGCAGTCTGTAAGACCTGGGTCAAAATGGGTCTTAGGGTAGGTTTTGGTATGTGGAGGTTTATGTTGTAGCGTGCTAGGAGCAGGCTGGAGCTCGAAGGGAGCTACGAGAACCGCGACCGAGGACGGGAATGACCTAGTAGTGGTTGGAACGACGAGAGGGTGACCCTTGAGGGGTTCCTAGGAGGTCCAGGGAGGTTCAGGAAGAGTGCGGGACCGTACGATATTGCGTAGTAGGAGTTGTACTCGCTAGAACGTCAATATAGGATCGAGTAGGTAGTTTATGCAACTGGGTCTCGAGGGTGTAAGCTCCCGAGAAGGGATACGCCAGGGAGGGTAGGTCCCTGGGGGCTAGGTTTGAGGATGGTCGTCCTCGAGTGTGGGAGGTGGTAACGGAGAAGCAATACGTAGTTCGACGTGAGGGGTAGCTTCGACGTTACCTAGATCGAGGTCCCGAAGTGTTAAGATCATGTACACCGTGTAACCGTGCCAAGGCCACAGGGTGTCTAAGTGCGGAAGACGAATGGGACAGTAGTGAAGTTATTAACAACACCGCCGTTACGCCGTTAGTCCCCGGAGAGCGAGAGTAGAGAGAGAGGAGCTAAGTAGCAGCCAGGTCGGAGCGGCGGTATCGCCGATGACGAGGAGCGGACCAGAGAACGTTAAAGTCCTAAGGTCGAGGAGAACGTACTTCGAGGCGTTGAGCCTGAAGACTTAGAGAAGAGTTAAGTTGAGAAGGGAGATCTAAGTTGATCTAAGTTGATAATTAAACTAAGGAACTACAGTAGCGTACAGGCAGTATTTATATCTACGGAGCGGCGCATCGGTGCGGAGCGCCAGACTAACTACTAGGAGCTATACGAGTAGTACCTGCAGGGTAGAGTAAAAGACAATAAGGAGAGACTAGAACGAAAGAGTAAAAGACAATAATGAGAAACTAGGACGAAAGGATATGTGTAGCGAGAAAGAACAATAGGAAGAGATTACAATAAAAGCAGATCTTCGGAATACCGAGCGGCGGAATGGAGGCCCGCGGCATGGACTTGACAGTATTCCCCTCTTAGGCTTGAGCCCTCGAAAGCCATTAATACCGGGAGTTGATTGGTCAACAAGGAAAAATTTTAAAGGCCGTCAGCATCGGGAATTTGGCCCGTCAGTCAGCAGGAAAATTTTCAAAAGCCGTTGGTACCGGGGATTATCGTTAGTCATCCAAGAAAATTTTCGGTACACCGTAAACCGAGTACAACTCGAAGAAAATTTCTTGCTGGTCCGTGCGTAGTTTTGACCCTATAAAAAAGGGCCAGGTTTTGCCGCTATGGCCAAGTTCCCAAAACTCCAAGTACACATGTCCTCTAGTCGCACCACCACCCGAACCACCACTACCGTCGGCTCGATTTCGGTCACCGGCGCCCATCCAACTTCGCCCCCGGCCCCAACTCGCCCTTCAACGCCGGATCCTTCTGACGAGGAACGGGAGCTCGAGCTCCAATTGCAACTCACCAGGGAGAAGAACCGGAAGAGGAAGGAGGAAAAAAGGAAGGCGGAGGAAGAAGCTAGACAGAAAGCAGAGGAGGAGAGGCAGAGGCAAGAGGTCGCCGAGCGGGCCGCTAATGCCAGAAGATTGGAGGAAGAGGCAGCGGAGAAGAGAAGGAGGATTGCGGCAGCCGCGGCAGCGCGAAACCGCCGGGGCCCTTCCCCAGGGGAAGCATCTACTTCCGCTCGTCGAGTGGAAGTAGAAGTTCCTCGGGTGGTTAGGAAAGCCAAGGGCAAACAGAGGATGGAGGTGAGTGATTTCTGCCATATCCTCACTGACTTACTAACTCTAAGTTTTTTTAGGCTAGCGGCGGAGATCCGGACGATGGCGGAGATGATGACGATGAAGACGACGATGAGCGAGTTCCCTGCGAACGATGCAGGAACAAGAAGATCCCTTGCCGGATGCAGGCTGGCAAGAGGAGTTCAATTATTTGTAAACCCTGTCACGACGCTAAGGTCAGATGCTCGTACTCCGGGCGGCCTTCGACGGTGAAGCGAGAGGGGGGAGGACAACCGATCGGCGAGCGCCTGGCGATCTTGGAGAGCCAGATGGCTCAGCTGCTGGCAGACAACCGGCAGCTTCGAGAGGGCCAGTTGAAGGACAACACCTACAACCGCCATATCAACCGCAAGTTGGACTGGTTGATGACGGACGCCGCGAGAAGGAGGAAAACGCCACCGGAGATGCCGGAACCAGGACCTTCGCGGCTGCCGAAGAAGAGGAGAAGGGTCGTGGATAGTGAGGAGGAAGAAGAGGATAGGAGGATGGGAGAAGAAGAGGATGGAGAAGGAGAGGAGGAGGTAGAGGAAGAGGGAGAACCGGCGCCGAAGAAGGCCCGGTCGGAGAAAGGGAAGGAGAGAGCGGAGTAGAGTAACATCGGACATCGAACATCGGCCTTCGGCCATCTTCTTGTACTCTTCTTGTTGCCCTGCCTTCGTTATATAATTTTGTTTTTTGGACTTTGTATATATAAAAAAAAATGTTAACTCGATTTTGAAATCGGAAAGCGAATGGGCCGCGAAGCGGCGTAAGAAGTAATTAGTACGAAGTGTAATTAGTCTAAGTGTGAAAGAAATATAAGTGAAATAGTAGATAGAAGGAGAATGTAAGCAATTAAGAGAAAGAGATAAACACTCAATTTGCTATCATCGTGTTTACCCTCTAAACGCACAAAGTAAACTTCGGCGGAGCGCGGCGGAAAACGGGGGAAAGGAATAAAATGATTTTGTGTGATCAAGGTCCAGGTTTCAGAGGGTATCGAGCGTGGAATGCGGGTACCAGTTCATCAGCATGTAATTCATCAGCAGCAACCCAAGAGAATTCATCGTCGGTACCTTCATA